AATTGCGTCGGTCGGATGAAGACTCCGATAAATTTAGAATTGACCGTCCTAGAGACACCATCCCTGAAAAAAGAAGACGACAAGCGTTCTTTTGCACCTTATTGCCGACCGTCCACGGACCCGGCTGCTCGACGTGCTTGGACCTTCCCCGGCGCTGAGCGCCGACGGCAACCGCATCGAAGGCAACACCGGGTCGGGGGTCGTCATCAACTCGTGCGGCGGCCGCGTGAGCCTCGGACCCGACAACGAGTTTGCCGCAAACGGCGCGCAAGACATCTCGCGGCCGTCCGCGCGCGAGCTCGCCTGCAGTCGTGCCGCCGCCGCCGCCCTCGCCGCCTGCTGAGCGCCTCCGCTGCTGGTGGAGGGGCGGGTCGGAGGGGCGGGTCGGAGGGGCGGGTTGGAGGGGCGGGTTTGGTGGGATGGGGGGAGAGGGGGGCATGGAGAGGGCCGGGAAGGGAGAGGGGGGAGGTTCAGGCTGCTCGGGCGGGAGAGTCCCGCCGTCGGAGCGATGTCAGGCCTCCCAAACGCTCGCGCAGCGCTGTCCGCGCGGCGGCTCGTGGGCTCGTCCGCCAGGCAGGCACTTCCCTGATGGGGCGCCCGCTCGGACGGAGGTACGCGCGCCAATGACGCGCGCCAATCCGCTCGCGGCGTTGGCGGCCGCCGGAAGAGAGAGGCGATGATCTGCGTAGGGTGCACCTGACTCCCTGCGGCCTCGCCAACACATTTACGAGTACGTTCGTGGGTACCGCGTACCGCCAGGGTCTGGTGTGTCCCTTGTGACCGCGCGAACGGCCCTGTCACTCGGGAGATAATCTGAGAGATATCAGATATGTACACCCCCGTTCCCATGTGTGTGTGTGTCTCCCAGGTCGTCACCGTCAGCTCTTCTGTGCGTCTGAGTGGCAGGCAGGGACCTATTGATACATATATGCGTGTGCATGAATTAGCTGCGTGTCCCCTCCACAACATCGTGGGCGTTTGAGCGGTATTTGAGGAGCACCGCCACTCTGAAGTTCGGCCGGGTGGTCTGCAGACCCCCCCCCCCGGAGCAGCAGAGGCTCCGTGGGGTTGAAAAGTCGACGCTGGGAGTCGCACTCGTCAAACCGTCGCAACACCACGCGGTCCGCACGTACCGCCCACATCCCCTCCACCACTGAGAAGGCGCAGATCGACCGCCGGGCCGCGTAGTCGTCGTTAAGGAGCGGTTTTCGGAGCCGTACGAAGAGGTCCCAGACGGGCGAACATGCGGTTTTTCGACGACCACACGCGATGTGGTATCTGCTTTTTGCTAAAAACGGGCCGCCTAGTGCAGCATCACTAGTACAACACGCAACTACACTGAGAGCTCCACACTAGCCGGTATAGGCGAGCCCCGACGGCCTCACCGTCGCCGCGAGCGGCGGAGCCGACGGCGGAGCCACGGGCGGTGCGACCTTTTGGGGGGACATGAGCTCGCCAGGACGTCGCCGATGGCTCGGCGCGCCTCTTCCCGCCAGCGCGGGACGGCCTACCACAGGAGGGGGGGGGGGAGGAAGACGGAACTGAGCACTAGGTTCGTGATCCCGTCGCCGGCAACGGCTGGGACAGGGGCGGCAAGCGACGGGCGGGTGAGCGACCTTTTGAGCGGCCGTGAGCTCGCCGGGACGTCGCCGATGGCTCGGCGAGCCTCTTCCCGCCAGCGCGGGACGGCCTACCACAGGAGGAGGGGGGGGAAGACGGAACTGAGCACTAGGTTCGTGATCCCGTCGCCGGCAAAGGCTGGGAGAGGGGCGGCAAGCGACGGGCGGGTCCGCGACCTTTTGAGCGCCAATGAGCTCGCCGGGAGGCTCTCGATGGCTGCCTGCACTTCTTCTCGACGGGCTTCGTCGGGCCGCGTGCCTGGTCGGCGGGGCTCGGGTGAGATGAGCGGGCGGGAGTCGCATCTGCGCGTCGAGTGCAGTGGCAGTGTGGGGGCGACCTTTCCCGCGAGACCTTTTACGGCAGCAAGCTCGTCCCCCCTTTCCCGAGAAATATTGATGTTTCGGTTAATCGAACGCATCGTGGACGTCGAAAAGTCGTATCGTAACGAAATTGGGCCCACTCGGACGGGCCACACTCCCAGTCGCCGCCCGGTCGGCCAGACCCGATGAGTCGGCTGATGCTGGCGGCCGCACTTGGTGCGGCCGCGGCTGCGCCGGCCACCAGTGGCGCTAGCCACCGGCGCAGACTCGGCGAAGACGACGATGGTCTGACGGAAATCGACTTGAGCAAAATCGAGGGCTCCAAAGAGCACGTACGGCGCATACTGACCCATTACGATGAGCTGCTGGCCAGCGGGGAGTGCATTTACGGCGAGTTTACGAAGGAAGATGAGGCGGTATCATTGATTGGTGGTGTCCTTCTTTCGCCTGGACAGGTCAGGCCCGGTTACGGTCCGAATCCGATCAAGCCACCTCAGATAAAAGGTTGGCGAGGCTCTATTGGAGGTTGGCGAGGCCATTACTGGACCGGGGGGATCTCGCGAGAGAAGGGCGAAATACATGGCACACCGCACAAGGTCGCCACGAATGGCAACACCGCCCCTTCCAACCTGCCTGAGTCCCAATGGGGCGCCCCGGCAAACATCGACACCGGCGCACCTCACACGACTGGCGGCGGAATCGATGATGGGTGCGTTTGGCAAGGCGGGGAGGCGGGGACGAAACCCTATGACCCAAACGTGCCGGTCTATGGGAATTTCCGAGTGGATCCCCACCCGAGAACCAGGGATATGTACGGACATTGGAAAGGGAACAGCGTCGGAAACGGGCCGCCTCGGGACAGGGATGACCCCAACCTGTACGTGACAGAAAGCGGAAAAGAGCACTATTCATCTCGGCAGATTCATCAAGCTTGCGCGAAAAGGGTGATTTACTGCCAAGACGCCGAGCAGGTCGGTCCGGGCTTAGGGGGAGCCGGGATGCCCGGATGGAAAGAGTTCCCTCTTGACGCTGAAGCGGGGCCTGGAAACCACGACCCAGATGAGAACGGCTTCCACAATGGCAAGGACTATTCGGCCGGCACCATTGGCAAAGTGCCCTGGGCCACGCAAGTGCAAACCCCTCAAATGACGGCTGCATTTCGGCCCTCCCCGCCGCCCGCAGCAGCGCCACCGCCGCCCTCGCCGTCGCCCTCGCCCTCGCCCTCGCCGCCGCCCTCCCCGTCGCCCTCCCCGTCGCCCTCCCCGCCGCCCGCAGCAGCGCCACCGCCGCCCTCGCCGTCGCCGTCGCCGTCGCCCTCGCCGCCGCCCTCCCCGTCGCCCTCCCCATCGCCCTCCCCGTCGGCCTCGCCGCCCCCTGCGCCTGCGCCTGAAGAAGAAGCCGCACCGCCTGCGGGAGAACCCGCACCGACCGACTCGGACGGCGACGGCATCCCTGACGCAACAGAGGGCACCGTCGACACGGACGGCGATGGCACGCCTGACGCAGAGGACCCCGACTCGGACGGCGACGGCATCCCTGACGCGACCGAGGGCACCGTCGACACGGACGGCGACGGCATCCCCGACTACGTCGACCCCGCCTCGGAGTCTACGCCTGTCCCGGATGAAGAACCCGTCACTGAGGGGAAGAGCAACGGTGACCCCCATCTGCACTTTGCGCACGGCGGCGAGGCAGACTTTCGCGGTCAAAACGACAAGTGCTACGCCTTCTTCTCGGCGCCGGGGCTCGCGGTCAACGTCAAGGTGGAGGAGAGCACCTTCACGCTTCGTGGAGGCAAGGTGGCTGTGAACGGGAGCTACCTCACCGAGGCTCACGTGGTCGCGAGCGTCGACAAGGGGCGGCGGGAGGCCACCGCCTCCTTTTATGCCTCTGAGCTCGACGTCCATAATATGGGCTGGGAGGTTGTCCGAGGCAAATGCGCAGGCCGAAGCTTCAAGTTTGGCAAGAACGGGTACCAGGGCTGCTTCGAGCTCGAGATGAGGATGGGCATCTCGTCCGCCATCTTCACCCTTCGCAACTGGACAGTGAACGTGCACGGCAATTTCGTATACGGGCGGGTCTCCGGTCCGAAGCATCGGATCGACGTCAGCGTGAGCGCACGGGGTGACGCTGCCGCCCGCTCCCTGCCCCACGGTCTCGTCGGCCAGTCCTTCTCGTCGGCGGCGCCGCGCCACGGCAAGAGGGATCTCTACCCCGTCGCCGGTTCGTTCAAGACCTCGGCGCAAGCGGAAGGGGCCATCGAGGGCAGCGTTCACAACTACGAGTTGGCTGGGCCCTACTCCACCGCCTTCACGTTTTCGCGCTACGACGGCAAGGAGGCGGAGGCGCCGCAGCCGGAGCTTATCGCGCCGGTCGACGCCTCATCTGTGGAGGAGAAACCAGCTGAAGTCACAAAATTCTCTGCGATAGTGAGAGTGTCGAGAACGTCGATCTTCCCGCCGTCATTCAGCCACCAATCGCACGTCCCCGCCCGGCCGTTCTCGGCGGCCTTCACAGGACGTCTTTGGGTGTGTGTGTGTGTGTCTGTCTGTGGGGTCTCCGGGCCGGAGCACTTGGAGCTCGCGCCTGTATTTATGCAGTTTCACCGCTCCTTATACTCGTTTATTCATGAGGCGACCCCAGGGAACCGTGGGCATTTCGCGTTCGTTGTGAGCGAGAGGTCGTACCCCACCCAACGGCGCAGCAACCGATCGGTCGTGGGATCGAATCTCGGATCCCGACGGCGCCCTTGATTGCGGGGCATTCGACCCCCCCCCCCCCCCAAAAACAAGAAGCAGGCACTCGTTCCGCGTGCCCTCACGCGCGTTGCAGCGCAATGTGCGTCGGGGCGGGCAATGTAATGATTACAATGAGTAACTCATCCTTGGGCAGCTTTGTATTGATGAGTATGAGTGGTCATGACGTCTGGTATCCATGAATGTGAACACTCACTTCTGCCTGTAGAGCTCTACTCATGTGAGGATATGACGATAATGCGTGCCACGCGTCGAGCACGCTCAAAAAGAATCCTGCACAAAGATCGCACGGGGGCGGGGACCTGATCCTTTTTAGCCATCTCCTAGTAAATAAAAACGGACACCTCTACTGTGAGATGGGTAAAAAAAGGAACAGGTTTCCGCCCGTGCGATCTTTGTGCAGGGTTCTTTGTGGGTGTGGTCGGCGACTAGCCGGGGTCGTCCTCCCGATGGGGGACTAGCACTAGCCGTCTTCCACATGACTTTCCACATGGTCCCTCGGGTCTCTGCTGCTCCTAATCTCTTCGACTTGTCGTACATCCCTCCTGCTCATCTGACTCCGCTCTCCGCAACATCTCCTCATCTCCTATAGTGGAGGTGTCCGATTTGTTTATTATTCTCACAAGAAAAATGTCGTCGAGACGTCTCGGCTGTGGTGGCGGTGTGACCGATCGAGCTACAATGAATTTTGGACCTCAACACGCTCTGTCCGCTGTCAATCCCGCCGCCTCCCCTGTCAATCCCCCGCACCACCGCCGCCACCGCCTCGCGCGTTTAGCGGGGGGTCAAAATTTAAAAGGAGGACAGCCTATAAAGAAAAGAAGCAACTGCCACCTTATCAACCACAACGCAAAAGGCCCGCGCGTGCTGCGCGGGCCCGGCGAGCGACTAGCGAGCCAGCCTGATAAAAAGAGAAAAATATGTCGGCCCGCCGTTTTTGGTGAAAAGCAGCTCGCCTTCAGTTGTCCGGACCGGCCTCTCACTGCCGGACGACGCCGCCGTGCGTCCGCCGTGGGTCCAGAGCAGTGGGCGATCGTACCTGCGCCAGCTCCACCTTCGACCCATGCGCAGCCTCTCGCCGCTCGTAGTCCTCATCGCGCTCCTCGCACGCGCAACAGCACAGACCTGCGGCAACATCGAGGCGACCACGCAGCACAATTTTACCACACCAGACGGTCGGGGTCGCTCCTACGTCAAGTACAAGCCATTGGGCATTGCGACCGCCTCCAATTATCCGCTCGTCGTTGAGCTGCACGGCCTGGGCGCATGCGCCAGCGACCTGTACAGCTATAGCGGGTGGACACTCGTGGCCGAGCAGAACAACTTCATCCTCGTGACTCCGCAGGGAGTAGAGAAGAGCTGGAACGCTGGTCGCTGCTGCGGCCAAGCGCGAGCGGCAAAGCTCAATGTCGACGACGTCTCCTTTCTTCGTATGGTCGCTGCAGACGTCCTCGCTGCTGAACCCGGCGTCGACCCGACGCGTGTCTACTTTGCCGGCCATTCGACCGGATGCATGATGGCGCAGCGGATGGCGCTCGAAGCGTCGGACCTTGTGGCGGCCGTTGGGTGCCACGCCGGCATGCTGATGGTGCCTCCCTCGTCTCCGGCGGTCGAGTCCATCACAACGCCGTCAGGCTACAAGCCGGTTCCAGTGATGGAGATCCAAGGGCAGCAGGACAGCGTAGTCTCCTACGACTATGCCACCGTCCTCCGCATCCCGTATTGGCCAGGAGCGCTGCGCAACCTTGGTTGGTGGCGCCAGCTCAACGGTTGCCCCACAGCCTCGCCCACCATCATCTCGTATGGCAGCTACAGCATCCACTTGCACACGGGGTGCGCAGACGGCTCGGGCCGGCCACTATTGCTTTGCCTCATTCCCACCCCACGTCAATACAACCCAGCTTGCATGGGATTTCGTCCAGCAGTTCAACCTGCCCCTGCCAAATAGCCCGTCGCCCCTATGGCCCGTGCCTTCATCGCCGTCGCCGTCGCCGTCGCCGTCGCTGCCAGCCCCGGCGCCGAGCCCGCCGTCGCCCGCGTCACCGTCGCTGTTACCGCCGCTGTCGCCGTCGCCGTCGCTGCCAGCCCCGGCGCCGAGCCCGCCGTCGCCCGCGTCACCGTCGCTGTTACCGCCGCTGTCGCCGTCGCCGTCGCTGCCAGCCCCGGCGCCGAGCCCGCCGTCGCCCGCGTCACCGTCGCTGCTACCGGCGCCGCCGAGCCCGCCGTCGCCACCGGGCCTGCCGTTGCCGATGTCGCCACCGCGCGGCGGCGAGGGCGCCCCAGTGCCTCTCATTGCGGGTCTCGTCGGGGCCGCGGTGGCTCTCGCGGTCTTGGGCCTCGTGGTCTGGCGACGGAGGTCCTCCACGCCATTGAGCGGGAACGGCGGTGGTCACGTCGGTACGATCGGCGTCGAGATATGCGCAGTAAAGCCTCAGTCAGAGGACACGGCAGCCAATGCCATCCGGGCGTTGTGACTTAGCGGACTACTTTGGGATTGCCTCCGCTTGCCCATGTTAAGGGGGTTCACCAATTCGTCGCACAAAAGAATTTCCCATTTCCGGCCGGAAAGAAAATTTTAAAAAAGAAAGAAAACGCACAACCCAAGGGAGGGATGAGAGGACGGCACGCCGCCAGCGCCACCACACAGGGATTTTAAGGAGAGGGGTGTGAGATGCGCTAGCCGTCGCCCACCCTTGGGCGTTCTCGCTGCAACCTTCGTGCCAACTCGCGGTCGCCCCCTTCTCGTCGTGCTCTCCCTTGTCGCTTCTTCCTCTGTCGCGTCGCTCTCCTCTGCCTCGTTCTGCGACGGCGCCGCCGCCTGCCGCTCCCTTGCTCTCGCTTCTTCTCTCGCCTTTCGTCGCAGCTCTGCCCTCCTCGCGCCGGCACATTTTGGCCCCTCGAGTTTATCGAGCTCTCCTCGCGCAAGGACGACTCTTCTGACGCCCACTCCGATCATTTGCCGCCAGGTCATATCGTTGCTCAGGTCCACTCTCTCTTCGAACACTTGTACTTCCACAGATGTTGGCGCTGGGGTCCCCTTCGGGTGCTTGCGCACATTGATTTAATTCTTTTTCTCCAGAGAAAGAAAGAAAAAACAGACAACCCAAGGGAGGGATCGGAGGACTTTCTTTTTCTCCAGTGTTGTGCAAGCGGGCGGGGAAATTCTTTTTCTCTTTTGTTCTAAGATTCTTTTTCTCGCGATGTCTGCCCCGCGACGCCGCTCGCGCCGCCTCGCCTCCGCCGCCACCGCCGCCGCTCCCTCGCCAAGCACGCCGCCGCCCGCCCGCCTCCTCGACCTCCCCACGGAGCTCCTCGTGCGCGCCCTCTCTCACTGCGACCCCGCCGACATCGCTCGCGTCGCGGCCGTCTCGCTGCTCTTCCACGCCTCGCTGGCGAAGGAGGGCATCCGCTTGTGGGCGCAAGAGCGCGGCTTCGAGCTGCCGGCGCAGCCAGAGGGCGAGAGCTGCGCCGTGCGGTGGCTGTGCCATTCTGCGCTGCTGCGCGAGTCCAACCCGCCGGCGAGGGCGGCGGCAGGCCACTCTCACAGCCTCTTCATCGACGGCGAGGGGCGGCTCTCGTCGTGCGGCTCCGCGCCGGCCTACATTGCAGCCCCAGGACTGCTCGGGCACGGCGAGGGCGTGACGCGGCTCAACACGCCGACCCGCCTCCCTTCCCCACTGGGTGGTGAGCGCGCCGTGAGTGTGGCGGCAGGAGCCGCGCACAGCGTCGCCCTCGCCGCCGACGGTGGTGTCTGGAGCTGGGGCGGTGGAAGCTCTGGCCGCTTGGGCCACGGCGACACGCAGGACCAGCTGCTGCCCAAGAAGGTCGAGGCCTTTGCTGGGCAGCGTGTCGTCGCTGTGTTGGGTGGCCAGGGCCATAGCTTCGCCATCACCGCCGACAACGCCGTTTGGAGTTGGGGCTGGGGAATGTTCGGCATGTTGGGCCACGGTGACGAGCAGACCCAGCTGCTGCCGAAGAAGGTCGAGGGCTTGGCTGGCCAGCGCGTCGTCGCTGTGTCGGCGGGAGGCGTGCACAGCCTCGCTCTCACCGCCGACGGCGCCGTCTGGAGCTGGGGCTGGGGATACCAAGGCCAACTGGGCCACGGCGAGCTGCAGAGCCAGCTGCTGCCCAAGAAGGTCGAGGCCTTGGCTGGCCAGCGTGTCCTCGCTGTTTCGGCGGGAGATAGCCAGAGCCTCGCCATCACCGCCGACGGCGCCGTCTGGAGCTGGGGCTATGGAGGCTTTGGCCGGTTGGGCCACGGCGACGAGCAAAGCCAGCTGCTGCCGAAGAAGATCGAGGCCTTTATTGGCCAGCGCGTCGTCGCCGTGTCGGCGGGAGCACACACTCTCGCCCTCACAGCCGACGGCGCTGTCTGGAGCTGGGGCGGTGGAGCCGGTGGCAAGCTGGGCCACGGCGACCTGCAGAACCAGCTGCTGCCCAAGAAAGTCGAGGCCTTTGCTGGGCGGCGCGTCGTCGCTCTGTCGGCTGGAGCCGGCCACAGCTTCGCCATCACCGCCGACGGCGCGGTCTTTGCTTGGGGCCAGGGTGAAAGCGGCTTCCTAGGCCACGGAGAGGACCTGTCGAACCAGCTGCTGCCCAAGATGGTCGAGGTGTGGGAGGCGGAACCGCAATAGTGAGAGCATGTAATCGCGTTTTGCACATTGATGCAAGCCCTGTTCTCGGTCGCCCTCTCTCCACGCTCGCTCGCGGCGCCCCCGCTCGCGGTGGCGGCAGCGGCGGGAGGAGTGCAGCGTGTGCAAGTCAGGTGCGAGTGCTGACGCGTGACGCCTCCTCCCTATAGACTGCGGAGGCCATCCTAGACCCACACAGTAGATCGTGCCCCGTGAACGACTGGCCGATGAGGCCATGCGGCGACACTTTGAGAGATGCCTCTGTCTGGGACCCGGAGTGCAAAGTGCGCGTCCAGACGCACCGTCGGTCCGCTGATGTGATCGGCGCGATGGGACACCAACGCGGTATGGGTGGACGCAGAACGGGCGATGACGGTCACACAGGAGCGACACACAGAACCACAAGACAAGACACACACTCATACACACCGATAGGGCCAAAGGATATCCACCTCGAGAACCTCGAGCCCTCTTTTTGGTATAACGAACCTCGAGAACACCGATAACCATCAAATTCTTCAAAACTTCCACCATTTCGAGGTGTCCTTGCTGTGCTTGGCTCGCCTCGCCCTTGCCAGAATCTCTCCGGCTATCGTCCCCGGCCACAGCGATGCTGCTGGCGCTATCGTCCCTGGCCACAGTAAGCAGCCAGGCCGCTCCTCCAATTCCATTTGAGGGGCTCCCCGGCGAGTTCCAGCGGGTCGTGCCGCAGGGACGGCCGGGTGCTGCTCACACAGCCGTACCTGGCGTGGTTCTCACGCACACAAAGGGCAACTCTACGCTCGATAGCTCCACGCTCTTGCTCGACTTCGAAGGATCCTCTTCAAAGCCAACCCGCTGGGAGGTTGACGAGGCTTCTGTACCGGCGTGGATCTCCGTCTTTCCCACCTCGGGCGTGGTGCCTATGGGCGTCGACGAGGGCCCTCTCTTCACCGTCGGCACCTCGTCGATGGGCGTCGCCGAGCGAACCGAGCCGTATGCCGCCGCCGTCAACGTGACACTTGTGTCTGATGCCGTCGGGATGACCACTATCGCGGTGCCCATTCTTCTCATCGTCGCGCCCGCCACCACTGTCCAGCACTCGATGTGGGGCGAGGCGAGGAGAAGGACCGACAGCATCTATGACTGCGTGCGGCCAACGTCGCCGCCGCCGCCAATCGAGCTCGCCGTGGGCGCGGAGCATGATGTCTTCTTCACAGCGTGTGACTCAGAGGGCATGCGAGTCTCGCACATGATTCCCTCGGAGGGGCTGCGCGTGGCGAACGAGCTCCGGCACGGAGGGCTCGTGGCGCAGGCTGGGCCGCAGGCGTTCACACAAAAGCACAGCCCCGGGCCCGAAGCCGCACGATAGCACAGTGACCGTCGGACACGCAACACAGGCGTTCACCGTCCTCGTCCGCGACAGCGCCTCCGGTGCACACGACGACATGGCGGTCGTCTATGCCTCGGACGGCCGGTACAAGGCAACCGTGCTCGCGCCGCTCGTCGGCGCGCACGCGCTCCTGCTGCTTCTCGACGGCGCGCTCGTCGACACGCGCACGATCATCGCGCGGTGTCCGGCGCCGCTCGTGCCGCTGCCAAGTCGCGGGTGCGGCTGCGGCGCGCACCTCGAGCCGACCTTCCGGGCGGACGATGCGTCCGGCTTCGAGGTCGACTTTGAAGCGCTGAGGCGCGTGCAAGCAAACACACACGGACACCTCCAAGTCCCTCTTTCTCCACCTCTCCCTCCCACCGACCTCCTCTAGCCAGCTCGAGGAGGCCTTATGTGAGGTCCGGAGATACCCTCTCTGCGTGGCGCTCTCACTCTCGCACCTTGTACAGTGAGAGGGGTGGTGCGGCCGTGCCGGCCGCCCTCACAAAGTCAACAGTGATCGAGTTATCTAGGATGGCCCGCCTACCCATGACAGGCGCTTGCCGGCTGCCGAGTGCCAGCCTTGCCGTTTCGCGTACCACAAGCCGAGCGCGGGCAACGGGAGGTGCGTGCCGCAGCAGTGGCCACATCTCCCCATATCTCCCCATATCTCCTGATACATCTCCCCATATCTCCTGATATATCTCCCCACATCTCCTGACACATCTCCCCAGGTGCGTGCCGCAGCAGTGGCCAGCGATCGCGGGCACGAGTGTCTGCGCCCTCGGTGTCATTGTCGTCCTGCTGACCTTCGTGCGGTGCGTGTATCTCCGTCGGTTGCTGCGCCTCGCGGAGGTCGAGCGCGACCCCCCCCCCTCACTCACTCACTCACACACACACACACACACACACACACACACACACACACACACACACACACACACGCACACACTCACACACTCACAC